GATAGAGTCCTGGAGTGTCCGTCCAGTGAACAAAACATGATGAGGTGCCCTTAAATGGAGACAACATGATGCAGTAGCATATAGGCTAGCTTACATGCTAGAAAACAGCCTGAGTCCACCGCTGTATCCAGCCATGCATTCAGCTTTGGTCGCAGTATTTTAGCACAATATCGTGTTTGTGGCCAAAAAGTCACATCCTATACAAGATTGTTTTTGTGTTTTTTTCAATAGTCTGCAGGAAACATTAAAAAGTCAGACAGCCTTTTCAAACAACACGTGGAGCTAACATTAGCTAGCAAGCTACAGTTGTTTAAATCTGCCAAGTTGTCTTTTTAGCCGACTAAATCAGCGGTCACCGCCTAGAAATAAAAGCGGCTGCTTTTGTCTAAAATCAGACCAAGAATTTTGAGAGGTAAATCTGTCACCATTATCGTTGTACTGGATGGATATGTACCATGGGAGCAACTATTGGGTTCATTGTTGCAGCCTTTATTCATCCATGTCAAACAATCTCCTATAGCTTTGTCAATTATTCTGCTCTGTCAAGTTAAAGCTGTCGTAAGGTACTGAGGACATGACTTAATGTCTGCCTTGCCCTGGATTTAACCTACACGTGAACATTTTGCTCTCACCTATACTAACTGAGGTGTCTGCTACATAATCAGCAAGTCAGTTCATTAACAGCTCAGAGTGTGAAAATAACACGGACATGAACAAATCCCTAAAAAATAAAACCCAATATCTGATACAGCAGAATAAACCTGACAAAAATAACTTGGATCTGGCAGCCTCCACTCTTTGCTATGGAGACAATCTCACCCTCAGACAGAATAATCTCATATACAAACTGCAAAGATGTTGTTTTGGCACTGTCAACGCTCATGCACGCTGCACACACACACACAGTCACACGTTCAAGCGCCTGCAGAAAAAAGCCTAATAGAGGATCAGAGAATATGTCAAAGAAAGTGTGCTCACACACATAATAATAGCTTTCAACAAATGCCTCTGTGTTTGTCTCTGTTTGTGTGTTTGCACGAGGGCATGTTTGTGTACTACCTGTGAGACTCGGACAGATGCAGACATACAAAGACTCTTTGTTGAAGTTCTTTTTTGGGTCACGACAACTCCCCGAGAATTACTGACACCGCTGTCGTACCCGCTGCGTTGGAGACAATTTGGAGCACACTCTAATGGAACAGTCATGTCAGATTTGACATTGTGGTTTTATCCTGCTGCGCTGCGGAGGTGCTCTTAGTGTTACCTCACCATTCATGGTTCAGCAGGAACAAACTTCATAGGTGGGTATTTTATTATTCTGTTCACAAAAGGTGTGAAAACTCTGTGTACCTGAGTAAAGATGCATGTGTGACCACGCTGTGAGATATAATGAGAATAAATGAAAGTGGATTTTCTTTTTCCCCGTTATTATGACTGTGACATTTTAGAGGAAATAACAGTGATTTATATATTAGTGGCTGTCAAACAATGGCTTTTTAGACTTCCTGACGAGAGGGATTAGAGACTGGTTCGTTATTTATGAGGGAAGGCGATGGTGCAGAAAGCGGGAGGAACATCAAATCATTTTTATGCACTGAGGAGGGAGTTATGTTTTTTATTTTGGCTTCAGGGAGGGGTGTACAAATTTTAAGTGGCTGTGTTTTGTATTTATTTTACCGCCAATTTTTAAAGAAAACATGGTGAGGAAGGCAAGTTTTCTTTAAAAATCGCCATAATTACACCATTTATCACAAGCAGAAATTGTAAAAACTGAAATAATCATTGGATTTTCAAACTTCAAGTCAAATCTAGTTCAGTCTCGGAACCCATCGGCTATATTCGGTGTTTGACTTCCGGCAGACGGCGATACAGCCCCTGGGGGCAGACCCCTGATTTTTTGGCATTCCGGTTTGATTTGGGCGGAGGAGGCGAATTTCCGTTTCCGACTTCCGTTTATATATAAGTAAATATGCTGAACCATTGCGATGGATTCAGAGTTTGCAGTGACGCCAATTATGTTCCGCCTCATTAGTTCACCGCACGGACCGTTTAACCTGGCAACAACTGCAGCCGGCTTAAACCTGATTGGTCAATATCACGCAGACTACAAACAGCCTACAACCGGAAACCAGGGCTCTTCCGCTCTTCTTCTGGAGGCAAGATCTCCGAGGTTTGCCTACAGACTCTACATTCACTGAATGTAGAGTCTGTATATAGAGACTAAATCTAGTTCAACTTTATTGTCATTTCAATTTACAAAATACATGAGAACAGAATTGCACTTCCTCCTAACCCCAAGGTGCCACCATACACTAACTGGTTTATTTAACTTCAGTTTCACATCAGGAGCTTAACCGAGCGCGGCTTATCCGACTGCTCTCACTTGTGCTTTCATTTCCGCAAACACGTTCATCATGCCCCCTGATTGGTTACAAGGTAAGACTCGTATTCACGCGTTACTTTAACTCTTGTCAGCGCAATACCTTGAAGCTTACAAATCTAAAAAGTATATATATACTGTATATACATCACACATATGCATACACGTGTGCAAATGTACATATACAGATAAATAAAAGCACACATGTAGAGTGTGAAGACAGTTCCAGCAGAGCCCTGGACTAAGAGGCATCTGATATTGAAAGTGCATAATGGAATGAATGACCAGTTAAATAAATATGAATATAAACAGCAGTGTAATCTAACTGTGCATGAGAGGGATGGAGGTGACAATGTCCAATGTCCAAGGACCGTGACGCCTCTGACGGTCCTTGGACACATCATGTGTGATAAACGCTTCCATCAAAAAAAAACATAACCAATCTCAGCTTAAATCACCGATATTTCCTCAAAATTAATGTCTTCCTGTTTGGTGGCAAAACATGAAAATTTGATGGCTTGCCATAGTCGCACAGTTTGACGAAAACTCAAACTTTGAGTAACTTCTGATGTCGAAGGTCTTCAGATGATTCCGATAGAATCATAGTCAAACAGACGAAATCTTTACAAGGAGTTTGGTAAAGTACAACTTCTGTAAATGGCTAAAAAATCCACAAAAATTGCAGAGTAAATTCAAAATGGCTGACTTCCTGTTGGGTTTAGGGTATGGCTCCAAGAGGCCTTTTTGTATGTCTTGTGATGTTACATTTGCCAACCAGTTTTTGTACATGTATGTTAAACGCACTGCGGGCGCTGCTTTGTTCAAAGTTTGTAGTCCACCACTTCTGATTTGTGTGCAACGTTTCATGAGTTTTTGAGCATCTCAGCCCCTCAAAAAGCAATTTATATATAGGAAAAAGAAGAAGAAGAAAAATTCCCTTCAATTTCAAGAGGGTCCTTTGCACTGCGTGGTGCTCGGGCCCTAAATATGTATTGTTTCACAGAGAAAATAAAGGACAGTCCCTCAGCTGCACAAATAGTGAAAGCCCTAATTACCTTAATGACTTAATTAGGATGAATGGAATGCTTTGTTAATGTTGTGTGCATAATTATTGATTGATCATGTGCATGAGTGATGGGGGCAGGTGGGGGTGTGTGGGGTGGTGTAAACAGCAAGCAAGCTAATTAATACTGTCAGTGGAAACCGAGGCTGTGAGAGCCTGGCGCTAGTTGAATATGCAGAGTGAGCGTTCTCTCAGAAACAAAATTAGGACGATATTATTTCTGCAGCTTCAGTCCGTCCTCGTCTCTGTGGAGTAGCAAGGTCAACACCTCGTACAGTAGTGAGGGCGCTGTCATTAACGTCACCGTGTCTGGTTCAGTTTGTGTCTTTCACCTCAATATGTTCAAGATGACATCATTTTTATTTATTTTTTAATAATCTTCATGACAAACAATACACTTAATTTTCGTCTTGTTGAAAAAAGCTGATGGGAACGACAGTGACAACACATGACACGTGATGTTCACTTAATTGAGTTTAGCTTCAGATTTTGTTTGAAATTATGCTTTTTTTATTTAATCCAATCCCTGGAGGACCACAGGGTGTTGAGGTTGAAATGTCCTCTGGTATAGTCAGCCCATGATCCTCTCCTGTGCACCTGTCGACCTACATGTAGGCTATGCAAAGGTGCGTGTGATCTTGAATTACATTTTCATCCACTCTGTCTTGTTTCTCTGCAGCTTAATAGTAAAATCAATGGTTGATATATTAAGATAGATAGATAGATAGATAGATAGATAGATACTTTATTCATGCCCATGGGAAAATTCTTGTATCCAGTAGCTCACATAAGCGTATTGCATTCACTTGACAAATAAAAAATAGCCCTGTTTTTTGAAGTAATTTGTTTATTTTTCTGTTTTTTGTGTATTTTTTTTTCCTGAACGAGGAGATGAGATACTTCAAAATCTTGCGAGAAGCTCCAACCTGGCACCTGCAAGTGACTGGTGCCTGCGTAAAGTTGACAAACTAATGACAACACCATCTATATGACTTAAAGACAAGAGTATCTCCCAGTGTCTCAGACCCAAAACAAAGTAAAACTGGATTAAACTAAACAAGTGGGTCATGTTTGCTTCCATTATATCGAGCTCTCAAGAAAGGAATGAAAGTGTCTGTTGTTCTATTGCTCTCTTAACTCAGAAAAAAAAATCAGAAAAACAGAAAAAAATTACCCCCCAAAAAATTACACCGAAAAACAGAAGAATAAAAAAAATTACTCTGAAAAACAGAAAAAATTACTCAATAAAAGTTTTTTTTTTAATTTGTCAAGTGAATGCAATACGCTTCTGTAAAATCACAATAAAACCACAACAACAATAAATAAATAAAAATAAACTGTTCCAGCCACAGATGTTGTTATTCTCTTTTTATTGACAAAATGACGAATACAAACAAACAAGGCACATCTTCACGTCGTATTCTTAAAAATATCATGTTGCTCATGTTGAGCAACAAATACTAGAAATAAAACTAAACTAAAATACAGACATAAACACAACTGTCCGCCACAGGAGACGTCTTTATTTTGGCTTCCGTTGGTTCTCTTTTTGTCCCTTGGAGTTGCCGTACTCTCTGACGTCACTTCAGAGCGACAACCAACAATGGTAAGTGAGCAAGCAGTTTTCTCTTCGGCTCGAATCTCTGTTTTAATAAAACGTATTATTAACCAATGAAACATTACTCTCAGTGCTTGAAACGTTAATGTTTGTGCTGCAGTGTAGTTTCAGGTGGGTTAATGTTTTATTTGTGAGATAACGACATAATTAAAAGTAGGTGAGAGCCGACTAGCCCAAAGCTAACTGTTAGCTTCATTAGGTTTGATGTGTCGGTTGGCAGCAGTCGTTAACCTAGCTCTTATTAGCCCAGTCATTCATATTGTAGAAGTAGCTTTCTCCTTGTTTTGATCGAGTACGTGATGCTTCTTTCAAGATGACACTGTCAGAGTTTGGCTCCTCGTTAATACAAACTGACGTGTTGGATTTAGCTATTCTGGCAGGTAACGGCGGCGTTAGCTAACAGTAACGTTACTGTAAACAGCTAATGAGCTAACGTTGTTCAAGAAGGGGAATCTCCATTTATACAGGTCAGAATGAGTTGGTGTCTGTTTTTCTTTTCAGCTTCATTAATATGTGTCTGATGTTGTTTTAGGGTCAAAGTCAGAGTGGGGGTCACGGTCCAGGAGGAGGAAAGAAGGATGACAAGGTGAGAATGACACAGCTTCTGCTGGCTGCTGTCTGGATCTGTTGTTTTGGTAATCAGATGTTAATCTTTTGTGTGGTCTCTGTAATAAAATAACATGTTCCTTATTCTATTTGAATTCTAATATTCAAGGGGAACGTCACCTAAATTAAGAATTCCAATATGTTATTTTTATAGTCTTAGAAAGTTCAATCAGTATTTGTGAAAAGCAGCGACTCTCTCTTAAAACCACATGTCATGGGGTATGAAGTCTGGAGCTGCTCCATAGACAATGAATGGGGATAATTTTGTGGAACCACAGAATGTTTGTTTTCTTTTTTACATCCACATGAGATTTATTCTGCTGTAATGTTCTCAGTTGTGAAACAGAAAATGTACCCCTTTACTCAGAACATTCCCCTGGCTGCTCTCAGTGTCATCGAGATCAGTGGTTCCCAACTGGTCCAGCCATGAGATCCAGATTTCTCCTTAGAGTGCTTTCACCCATCAGTAGTTCAGTTCATTTGGTCCACACCAGAGGGAAAAATGAGACACACATTTTAGTTTGGGTTCAGTTCCTGTTCACACTGACATGTTGCAAACGAACCAAGAGGAGTAAACATGAAGTTCTACAGACTGGCAGGTAACTAGTTGATTGGACAGTGTTGGCGTTTGTCATCCTGCATCATCAGGACCCATGTGGGGAAATCAAACAGAAGTTTCTGCAGCAGCAACTTAATGCTTCTTAAGTGTTTTTGTGTCTGTTCTTTGGTTTCACAAAGAGCTCATAGATGACAAACTGATTGTAAACATTATTAGGAGGCTGTTATTAGACCGCAAATCAATGGCACTTTATGAATAATGACTAACACAGAGACAGGATGAAAAGAAGGCGTCTTGTTCAGTAATGATTCAGGGCTTCATACTTTGGGACACTTTTTAATGGACTTAATGAACAGACAAAGTACAGAGTTGGATACAATAATGCCAGATTGATTAGCTTTTTAAGCAGCAAAAATACTCTCAGTAATGTGTGTATGTGTTGCCATTGTTATATGTATGCATTAGCATAAATAGGTTACGGGATATACGTGGCCCTTATCAGGATCAATTATGAAATTGTGGACAGATTTTACAATCACCAGATGGATTTATTATTGGTTTAGCTGTTCCAGAATCACATATCTGCATCAGAAAATCCTGTGGTTGGTTAGTTTTCTTTCACACCACAAACGAACCGCACCAGAGTCTGTTTGGAAGCAGACAGAGACCCACGTTTTCGAATGGTTTCAGTTTGGTTGTTTGATCCACACCATTGACAGCTTTCACACCAGCCAAACTATTATTTTGTGGGGCTGTTTGTGCCAGAGTAACAAGTATTTAAACACTACAGTTGATGTGTTTTTGGCTGGTACCATTTCTGACATGTTATCACTTTGGCCCCAACTGAAGGACAAGAAAAAGAAGTACGAGCCTCCAATTCCCACCAGAGTTGGCAAGAAAAAGAAGAAGACCAAGGGACCAGATGCTGCCAGTAAACTACCATTAGGTAAGGAACTATAAAGACTGAGAGTTGTGAAGACGTGTTATCTAGCTGGTTACCTGTCTCAATTTTTGCAGCTGATTTTCATGGAAGGAGTTCAATTCTTGGGTCTCCTGTTTAGCCCTATTTGAGCTCACTGTTTACAACAGTGGATACTGTTTGGCAGTTATCCCTGACGTTCCTGGAAAAGAGTCTGTAACACTATTAAAACTAGACAGCAAACCCACAGTAACCCACTCTGATGTGAATAATGAGCAGAGCAAAGTATATCAACAGCCTTCAAGTTCCTGAAGGTCTGTAAAAGATGTTTTAGTTTGGATAGAATTTATCTATGTTTATATGTTGTGTTTTTTAATAAATATTTTACCTTTGTCGGCCTGTGTTTGTCTTTCAGTCACTCCTCACACTCAGTGCCGCCTGAAGCTGCTCAAGCAGGAGCGTATCAAAGACTACCTATTGATGGAGGAAGAGTTCATCAGAAATCAGGAGCAGATGAAGCCTCTGGAAGAGAAACAGGAGGTCCGCTCATGTTTTGCTTACATGATTCATACTTCATGCTTTGGTCGTACTACAGAGCAGACCAGATCTTAACTTCTCCTGCTGTTTCTCCTCATAAAAGAATCCTGATCTTATCTTTTCTACAGGAGGAGAGGTCAAAGGTGGACGACCTGCGGGGGACCCCCATGTCTGTGGGCACTCTGGAGGAAATCATTGATGACAACCATGCCATCGTTTCCACCTCAGTGGGATCAGAGCACTACGTCAGCATCCTGTCCTTTGTGGATAAGGATCTGCTTGAGCCGGGTTGCTCTGTCCTGCTCAACCACAAGGTAATGATCAGTGAGAATCCTTATTTGACGTTTACCTTTTTAAAAACACATTCCTTCAATATACATCAAAATACTGCTTTAAAATGAAATAATTACAGTTATTTAACTTCTCAGTCGTGTTTCACTCAACCGTGTGCTTCTGTTCATGTGCAAACACCTTAAAGAACTATTTTTAAATGTCTGCCACCTCTTTGAAGTGTAAAACAACTCACACGTTGTCTTGTGTTTGTGTGTCACTTGTAGGTTCATGCTGTGATTGGCGTGCTGATGGATGACACTGATCCCTTGGTGACAGTGATGAAGGTGGAGAAGGCCCCACAGGAAACCTACGCTGACATCGGAGGACTGGACAATCAGATCCAGGAGATCAAGGTACAGTTGAAACACAGCTCTTAAACCTGCGGGGTTAAAATGGATCCTGAAGTGGCCAACGTTCAGCCAGAGTTACACAGTCTGGCTTTGAAGTTACAAAACACCCAAAATCTTTGTAGTGTGAAATACTGACAGACTTGAAAGGTTGCCATTAAAGGTTGACCACAATATGGCTGATAGTTTTGGTAGCTTTCAAATTGACCTGTTTACATCACTGCAGGGTTCTTGAATTTTGAGGTAAAAAAGTACTGGAATACTTTGAAAATAGTGCTTTAACACATAACACTGTCTAATCAAGTCACTTAGAACGTTTCCATGCACAGTAAGTTGGAGCTACAGTTACAGCTCGACTAGGCCATTTAATTGGACTACTGTCCTTGTCCCAGTGTACAAGCACGGGCAGGCGGGGAATGGATTTATCGACTGAAGTATGTCCGACTCCTCTACAAGCTACTCAGCTTGTTAGTATTGGACCTTTTTCTGGTTGACCTGTTACATCACAGACCAAACAATCGAGTGTCGTCCAGCTGTACCACCGCTTTTTTAACAGGTCACCATTCCTACTCTTCCTCCCATCCATGTATTTCAAAATATTTAACTCTTTCAGCTGGCACAGCATTAACTTTGTCTCCTCATCCGTCCAAAAACTCACAGCTCTGGATGTAGATTTCTCCATGTTGTCACTGGCTGCTTCTTCTGTTGCGCGTTTAATGCTATTGGACCTCTGGGTCAAAGCTCCTTGCCTTGATGATGTCCCGTCTGACAACGTAGTTTATTTTTTACTTTGTTCCACTCTTAAATCCTCTGCAAAACCAACAGGCCTTTGTTGTCGTGACTAAACTTTACATGACTTAACGAGCCGGCTTTTCACTGTGACTTGTTTTCCCCTCTCTTCAGCTATGCTCCAGTGTCATAACTCCACTGAAAATTATAAATTGAAACTGGCGTTCCAGCTGGCATTGCTTCCTTGGCTACTTTCAGATGGTTCTGTTTTAAAGATGATTTTCCCTTTCGTTATAACCTGCACTCCTTTTTGTAATGAGTTGAAAATTCTGTGAGATATCAGGGAAGCGGCGGTAGGTAGGTGTGGGGCAGGCAGGAGGACACTAGGGCTGTACCCAAATATTCGGATATTCGAATATTCGTTTCTATGGGTAGGTATTCGTTATGAAAATTTGGTATTCGATATTCGGGTTTTTTTATTTACTTTTTTTTTTTAACATTTTTTTTAGGTGCTTAATGTAGTCTTTTTGTTGTTGGTAAATGCAGATTATCAATAAAAATCAAAACTTTTAAATTGCATTGTTAAAAATGTGAAAATATATTATCGCCTACCAACTGAGCTTGTGCGCACGGCACACTTGAGCGCATCCGTCTGAGGCTGTGGATCAATGCCAAGTTTTACCACTTTATCACTATTCCCTCTAACTTGTAGCTGTTTTTCGCTATCTTTTGAATTTAATATGAATTATGGAACCGTTTTTGTCAACATTTGTTTCCCCCGTTTTGTACAATAAATTATTGTTTAAAGTTTCAACAAGTTTCTTTTGGAGTGCGTGACACAAGTGTGTTTTGAAAACGACCGCGGACTGTCACCTGCTCAACGCATCAGTACCTTCGGATGCCATGACAGTAATAGTGTCAAAATAATAATAATGTCAAAATAATAATGTCAAATAATGTCAAAATATCATTTACAGACCAATTTAACAGACGATCACTGCTGCCCGACCCGCAGGTCCATTTGCAGGTCCCGTGGGTTATGGGTCGACCCGCGCATCACTACTCAGCTCAGTCTATAAGGCTGTACACAACAGTAAGGCTATAGACATTATATTCTATTCAGGCCGGCAGAACCAGCAGCACATCGGCTCTACAGTGGCACTGCTGATTAACCATTTTATTGCAGCACAGAGTGTCTGCCAGCAACCAGTTACTTGCAGAGGCTTCCTACAACTTGTTTCAACGGTTCCAATTTAATCAGAATCAATTAAACAGGATGACTAGCCAATGTGAAAATCAAAAGAAAGCATAGAATAATGTACTGAAGGAGACTGTTGTGCCATCACATTTTTTTGTGGTTTGAGAGCAAAGATCCGGTCGCCGCTGTGCAAAACTCCGCAANGGTCCCGTGGGTTATGGGTCGACCCGCGCATCACTACTCAGCTCAGTCTATAAGGCTGTACACAACAGTAAGGCTATAGACATTATATTCTATTCAGGCCGGCAGAACCAGCAGCACATCGGCTCTACAGTGGCACTGCTGATTAACCATTTTATTGCAGCACAGAGTGTCTGCCAGCAACCAGTTACTTGCAGAGGCTTCCTACAACTTGTTTCAACGGTTCCAATTTAATCAGAATCAATTAAACAGGATGACTAGCCAATGTGAAAATCAAAAGAAAGCATAGAATAATGTACTGAAGGAGACTGTTGTGCCATCACATTTTTTTGTGGTTTGAGAGCAAAGATCCGGTCGCCGCTGTGCAAAACTCCGCAATACAATTAGGTCTGAAAAAACCCCGGAGTCCGCCGCACACCATTATAATAGAATGAGCGCAGCAGTTCTCATGTCATTCAGATGTTTTGTTGCAGATTTTATGGTTATTAAAAAGTGTAATACAGTAAGTAACCTATCACTGGCTAAAGAGACATTCATATCTCATATTCAGAATTTAAAAATATTGCTTGAAAAAGTACTTGAAGGTCTTTGAATTTCATTTTGTAATGTCTGTATGAACACTGTCACCTGTTAATACATTTGCTCAACAACCGCTTTAAGCAAACTGAAGGTTGAGTTGCTCGTGAATGTAACATGTTGTCCTTGGGCGCTGAGTCTGAAGGAGCAGTTTTCTGTTGTTCCTAACAGGAGTCAGTGGAGCTGCCTCTCACACATCCAGAGTATTATGAGGAGATGGGTATAAAGCCTCCCAAAGGTGTCATCCTGTACGGACCGCCTGGCACAGGTGAGTGCTTTTATTAAACATGTTACCAACAGTGGCAACTTATTTTGGTGTTGTGTGACTTTGGTGAATCCAAACTAACCCTGTAAAACTCCAAAGGAACACAGTAAACACAAACTAACTGGTTGAGGCAGCGGTCAACCAACAGCTCTAGTGGTCAGCAAGTTAAAATAATAATTTTTGTCAAAGGAGTCTGGTGGCTTTGAAGAGAGCGATATAAAGCCCCTTTGCCACTGCACAAAAAACCCACTAACACTGGCTAACATCTGACTTTTTAATGCAGTGGTAAAAGTTTTAATTGGCATTCACACCTGTTTCAAATGACTCTGCAGTTGACATGGTTGTTTATCGCTTCCAGCTCCGATCTGCAGTGATTGGAACACAACTCCTGCATGAACAAGTTAATTTTAGCTCCTTTACCAGTGAGATGCAATGACGAGCCATCACAAAATATGTCTTTGACCGTCTTTGTCCAAGCAGCGCACAAACATTGATCCAAATTAATTTAAATTTAATTTGAAAGACTAAAAAAGTAAGTTACATAAGAATAAGTAACCACCATAACATTTTCGCTGGCCTCTGTGTTCCTCTTTACTGTTTACTGACCTGGCCGGTCCATGACGTCGAATATCACACATAAAAGAAAACCAGAGCTGTGTACGCTGTGGTTGTGCACTACTTGCTTTATTCATGCTGCTTAATTTGTGTATGTCACGTCATTTGCATCATGCCCACTGAGCTGCTCTGCAGGGATTCATGTCTAATCGTGTCTTAACTTTTTTTTTTTTTTTAATAAGATATTTTTTGGGCCATTTTGCCTTTAATGGACAGGACAGGAAAGCATGAAGGGGGGAGAGAGAGAGGGGGATGACATGCAGCAAAGGGCCACAGGCTGGATTCGAACCCGGGCCGCTGCGGCAACAGCCTTGTACATAGGGTGCCTGCTCTACCACTAAGCCACCGACGCCCCACTTAGATTTACTTAACACGTTATTCACTGGGGCAAATTGTTTTATTTGCAACTGGTTTGAACACAGCAGTAAACTGATACTGTTTTTAGGTAGATACGATGTTTTGTTGCAGCCCCCGTCCAGAGCAGAACACCACTTAGCTTCTGTGGCATTACTCCTGCCTGCTCCTCCAAACTGGGGGTGTGCCAAGAGACTTTATTGTTGGTAATACACTGACTATGAATAAGTAGCTCTTTTAAAACACTCAATCAGAAAATGTTCTACTACACTTAGAAAAAAATTACACCCTCGTTACTTTTCATGACACACAAATAATTCAGTTTCACACATGTGGTACAGAAGTCGTATATACTGTATACACGCAGGTACATCTATGTTAAGTTTCCAGTTATATCACAGAAGGATTAAACCCAGCCATAAACAGCGCTTGACAGTGCGAGCATTTCACGCGCATTTACGACTAAAAATAGGTGTGTGCGAACTGTAAAAAATATTTAGGGGCACATGTACGCATAAAAAAATCAGCTGAAGCAGCCTCTATTTTTGTCAATAAAAAAATAGGATAATCTAACCGCAAATGTTGGAGGAACTACAGCCGCCTTCCCTCTTCCCCGTGTGACACGGTTATGGGAGGTTTTCCAAGCCACTGTCGGCACAATGAATATAAGTCCCACTGTCGGCTGGGTGGAAATAAGCCAAAGTGTGGCGGAGAGGAGGGACCGGGAAAAGCGACAGACCTCCGGGGAAGCCTGCTCCGTTCTCCCTGCAGTTAGGGACTGTTCTCCACGGCCAGGCTGTCGGCTGGGTGGGAATAAGTCAAAGTGTGGCGGAGAAGAGGGACCAGGAAAAGCGACGGACCTCCAGGGAAGCCTGCTCCGTTCTCCCGCAGTTAGGGACCGTTCGCCACGGTACCGCTGCTGGGCAGGGTGGAAATAAGTCCTGCAGAGTTTCAGAGGACCTGGAGAATGTTTTAGGATAGTAATAACATTATATAAGATAATCGTATTGCAAAGATAATATATATAAGATAATAACATTAAAGACAAAATTAAATTGCAATACT